GTATGTAGTCCATGAGGTTCACCGGCAAGTGCTTCTTCTCCTGCCCTGTTGCCTTTTGACTCGCGTGGGTGGATGCAGAGCCTGTTTTGTTATTTTTTTCTTTCTTTTTGTGTGTGTGTGAGTGCCTGAATCATGTACATGAGGCCGCGTGACCTTGGGGATAAGATCATTCGGGGTCTAACGTGTTTTTCTTGGTGAGGTTATGTGACATGATCATATTAGGAAATCAAGCGATATTTGAACTTCATCCTTGGTCAGCCAGTTGTACAGTTTGATTCTTTTTGATGCGGTGATGTTTGTGTAACACGAAGCTTGTCAACAACGAATATTTATCTCGAGGATTGAGATATATGACCTTGATGTCTGGCACATTTATTTGTCTTAACTATTAACCATCAACTATTAACTGAGGCATAAAAAGAAAAATAAATATAAACACCTATCTGCAGTTGACAGTAGCCTGCAGAGAGGATACAACGCCCCTTGCAGACTGTAATGACAAAGCTCATTTTGTATCGGACAAGAATATCGATCCTGTTACCATAGGGTTCGATTCCGGTGTTGGATGCGCTCGGTGGGATTCTTGTTTCGTTTTTGATTCCTTCGAGATGTAAGGTTTCTTGGTGTTGTGTGACACGGTATTGCCATTTTAGTTGAGATTTATGAGCATGAGCATCAAGATACAATGCCGAGATGTTTTCGAAAAGCCAGCTTGTTTGTGTATATTTAAAAATATGCGTGTCATTCTACCGCTTTCCGTTTTCGCTTTCTCTCTCTCACTCTCTCACACTCTCTCCCTCCCTCCCTCCTTGCCTCCTTCCCTCCTTCCCTCCCTCCCTCCTTCCCTCCCTCCCTCCCTCCCTCCCTCCCTCCCTCCCTCCCTCTCTCTCTCTCTCTCTCTCTCTCTCTCTCTCTCTCTCTCTCTCTCTGACTTCATGTATTTCTAACGAAGGTATATTCGAAACCGGTTAAATGCATGTCTTGTACTGTGAAGATATTCATTCTCATTCATACGTTTTCTACATGATGACTCCCAGTTTCTCTCTCTCTCTCTCTCTCTCTCTCTCTCTCTCTCTCTCTCTCTCTCTCTCTCTCTCTCTCTCTCTCTCTCTCTCTCTCTCTCCCCCTCTCTCTCTCTCTCTCTCTCTCTCTCTCTCTCTCTCCCTCTCTATCTATCACTCTCTCTCTCTCACTCGCACTCCACACATACACGTACATACATACATGCATGCATACATAAATACATACATACATGTACACACACACACACACACACACACACACACACACACACACACACACACACACACACGCACACGCACACGCACACGCACACATACGCACACACATGCACACACACGCACGCACGCACGCACGCACGCACGCACGCACGCACACACACACACACACACACACACACACACACACACACACACACACACATACACACATATATGTATGTATGTGTGGGAGGGTTGTCTGTGCGCGATCCATCCAAAACAGCAAAGTGTGTCAGCACATTCGTTACAAAACCACCGTGACACAAATCAAGATGTGCTCCAAGTGCTGTAACGAAAATCCATGCTATCGTAACACGGAAGTTCCTCTGGACAGGCGACTCAGCCAAATGTAAAATGTCACGGGGTTGAGCACCACACGCACGAACACACTCGCAGAATGTATTGTGAATGAGAGCATACTTAGGGTAGAGATGAATATTAAAATTGGGTTAAATCAGGTGCAAAGATTAAGCTTAATTTTGCGAGGTTATTCAGATAAGTGTAAATGGCGGGTAAATGACGTTGTTAGTTATAGATCTGAAATTCCGAGTACAAAAAATCAAGTAAAAAAAAATAGATAAATAAATAAGGAAAATTAAATGAGAAGGAAAATCATGATGTCTTTTCAAGTACAGACACCCTGTGAAAGTACGTTTCGATTATTACGAAATGAAATATTAGTTAGCATTGCCCCAACGGTTGCGTGGCTTTCCTGTTGCATGCTGACGATTGCCCACGAATGAAAGGAGGCTTCCGAGACCGTATGCAGGTTGTTATCCTCTTCAGAATGACAAATGAGTCTTTAGGCGTTATTGCACATATGAATGAGACGAAAGCGTCCTGGTGAAAGAGAGGTCAGCAATCTCTCTCTCTCTCTCTCTCTCTCTCTCTCTCTCTCTCTCTCTCTCTCTCTCTCTCTCTCTCTCTCTCTCTCTCTCTCTCAGTCTATGTTTATATACACACACGTATCTATGCATGTACTTAGAATCCTCACATAATGACTTACTATTATAAATAAATAGAAAGGATTATCTTGTGTTAACGAGGCTTCCTAAATTCACACCACGTGTTTGCAGTAAAATTTGGCAGGCAATTTCATTTCAGCTTAAACTCTACTTTTGCAACTTGCAGAGAGTTATCGATATCTGTTGCGATTTATCATTCAGAGGCAAATATTCTGCCACTATCTGTCTACGATCACAATTGCTTCTGGATGTAAG